GGGGTCGGGCTAGAAGATCTACTAGGTCCCTTCCAACCCCTAATCTATGAATCTATGAATCTATAAGGTCTACCCCCTGGCTAAGTCAGGAGTTTAAATTTTGTGCAATTCCCTCTGAAATTTAAAAGCTATCAAATGGGCTCTGAAGCTGTATATAAAATTAAAGGAGCACAGGCTTCCTAAGTAAGGGTGAGATGTTTACTATGTCTTGAATCTTGGGATAAACCCAACAGTTTTCCTCTGATAAAAGGATTTGCCTCTCCCTCACTATGCAAGCTAGGTGGGGTTTTTTTCTATGTGGGTTGAGTATCTATGTTTAGAAACACATGAATACAGATCTAATTTAGCCTGTGTGCATCAATACTATTGTCCATGAAAATATTTAACACTAGATGGGCAAAAAACAATGTATGATGTGCTTTTCAAGTCATTCCAATTCACGCTTGGGATATTATTACTCTGCTCTTTATGAGCAGAGAGAGGTAGCTAGTCGTGTTAGCCTGAAGTCATAGTACTGCTTTGTCATAGCATCTGACAAAGTAAGCTGTTGCCTACAAAAGCTTATACCTCTCTGAACCAGTAAGTCTCTAAGGTGCTACCCTACCCTCGTTCTGTTTGTTGCTCTTGGAGCTAACGTAGCTATTTGCTTACAGGAAACAAGCTTCACACAGGGCAAAATGGGGAAGCAAAGCAACGCTAACTATAGTAATGCCACGGATATTGTACCCTTCATTCTTTTAGGGCCCAGCCCAACTCCTTTTAAGGCTGTGAGTATAGTTTCATTGACTTAAAAGGAAGATAATCAAGTCCCTGGTTTGCATACACTATAAACAGTTTCCTACACAAAATCTTTGAAAAGGAAATGGAGATTAAAAAGAGTTTTAAATAAAATGTAAAGACAAGGGATCATTAAACTTACCATGCCCCTAAATATGCAAAACCAAGTTGCTAGGATGAGGTATATAGCCAACATTAGGTCTATTGGTCTTTTTAGTAGTCCTTTCTTCTGGACTTCCTGAACCACCTACAATACAGAATGTGTTTAAGAGCAGACACAAAAGTCCAGTCTATTTAATTCCAAATCTGTCTCTGTAAAAGGTTAAAATGGTAGTATGCCATAAAAAGAACCCAAGGCCCCAAATCCCTTCTAAATTTGTAAAGCCAAAGTAACTTAATTGATTTCTATGGGCAGCATCATTTCTATAGATAATGATGTAATCAAGGACCTGTCTACAAAGAGACAATTGGGAAAATTTAATCTGAATTAATTTTTATGTGGATTTACTAAATTGTATTAAACCCCTGTGTGGCTATTCTGGCTCAGAATTAAAGTTTGCTTAATTTCCTCAGTTGATGACATTGAATTAAGGCAACTTTACATAAACTATTTTAAAGTCATAACCTTAGATGATTGTATTTAGCTTTCTTGAGTGTTTCTATGTAGACAAGCCCTGGGAACAGAATTTGGCTCATATGTTTTGAAGCTGAAAGGAAGCATGCTTTCATGTAACTGGACAACTAAATGACGAGCAATGTCAGTCTTGATGTTGGATGGCCTAGCTTTGGACAGTCTTTAATACTTTGCATAGTAATTAATACAATGTTATTTACACAAAGATAATAAAATGGCTTCTTTGCACCCATTCTCTTTTCTCAACTGAGTGTTTTACCCATGTCCATTTTACATTTAAGACAAAGTTGTATCAAGTCAAATGGGTTCATAATAGAATAGTTTATGTGATAAGTGTTGAAGTGATGTTGTTATGATGGTCTGGAAAATGCAAGAGGCAAGAATTCTTTTGGGTGATAACTATTCTGCTATTATTGAGGATTTTCTTATTGCACAAGAATTCTTACCAAGCAGCCTATAAGGAGTACAGTCTGGTAATTATGGTCTGGTAACATGGGATGTGGGTGACCCAGCTTCAAATTCTTATTCTGCCATAGACTTCCTGTGTGACTCTGGACAAGTTACTTAGGTCCAGTCCCTCAAAGCAATTCAAGTGCTTAAGTCCCATTGATTTGGGAGTTATGGATGTAAATGTCACTGGGGAGCTGAGTCTGATTTTTATGTTCCAGCACAGACAGAAGTTACAGAAGATGCTCTGTTCTGAAACGTCTTCATCTGAACCCTCATGCAATGAAGGATCAGATTTTTGTCCAACCAGCCATTTTTGAAGCTGTCTGTAGCCATGTACTTGTGTTTGGTCATGGCTATAGACTGTTCCTTGTGGCCAGATTGGGCAAAAATTATCACTTCTGTCTGTGCCCTTCCTTTTTTCCCAAGCTCTAAAATAGGGATCATCCTCACCTAGCAAGTTGTACTCAGAAACTGCAGTAATGGAGGCCGTGTAAGAAAGACAGATATAAGAAAGAAGCAAAACAGCGCTCTCTAGCTGGTACTGGCTAAAGAACTTGGCAAATCCTTAATAAGCATTGTAGAGATTTTTTTAGTTTTTATTTTTTTTAATTCTGGGATGCACTAGTTGTCAGTAATACATGTATACCACAGGCAAGGTCCATTTAGCTGAGAAGACTAACCTCATTTTAAGGTTCTGCAATTATGTATTAGCCATTTCCACTTGCTTTTTGGCTGATACTCTAAACATCAATACATATACACAGCAGAAAGACCAAATAGCCTTCCTTTTATTTTGAGGCAGAACTGTCATAATTTATGTGAAACAGGATTCAGTGATAATCACTATCATTTGTGTTCAAGTTGCAGAAATAAAAGAACAGAGTTGCAGGCAAAACTCATGTAGTAAAAATTACAGGATTTAGCTCAAAGCTTACTTAAAAGGAAAAGCTACTTTATATATACAGGGTTATTCATTTTATCAAATGCTATAATAGAAGATATTTTTTCCCCAGTAAATATATTTTAGATATCCCTATTGCTTGTCTGTAATGCTAGGGCAATAGACCTATTATGAACTCTAGTAGAGGAGCTAGATCTATGTGACTGTACTATTAATTTTATCAAAACCTGCTGTAGAAAAGTTTGCAATATTGTATGCAAAAAGCATGTATAACTCAATATTAGAAAAAGGAAAAACAAAGGGTTTCTTTAGTAATCAAGCTACAAATAACTTTCAGGTAAGGTCTACAAGAGAAGAACAAAGATCAGTGGAATTCATATTTTATTCCCACTTTGCCTAGGCATGAATGAATGCTAAACATATTACATCTTTTCTCTTAAAGGAAATATTAAATCATTGCACATATTTACCATGCTATGCAAAACCTCAGTGTTCTCCTTTTATTTACAGAGCTCTCAGAGAGCAAACCAATAATGAAAATGAGTAGAATTTCTGTTCACTTTCCAGAAGAGTACAGAGAGCTTCTGGGGGTTTTGTTTTCTATGGCCATGTCCAGAATAGCAGTGAAGGTTTGGTTCCCCAGGGACAAGTAGCTGCGGCACACTTTGCACCACAGCTACTTGTCTCTGGGGAACTCTTGTGCTTTGCATGCTTTGGCATGTGGCAAGTTACCCCAGGGGCAGTAGGGAGGCTGGGGCCAGCACTGTGCTGGCACCAGCAGCCTTACCTGGGGCTCTGGGGGGGGCCTCCCAGGTCTGAGCCTGGCTGGCAGCTGCAGTGCAGCTCCAGGTGGCCTGGCTCTGCTTTTCAACAGCTCACACTACCCATGCATGCGCTCCTCCAGTTTTTGTTTTTTTGTTTTTCCCAGGGGTCAAAAAAAACCTGCAGAGAAAAAAAAAAACAGAGCAGCACACACAGAGGCAACGTGCCTTTGCACTGTGGAGAACAACTGTCTGTGCAGTATGTGGCACTGCAGACGTGTTTGCGGCACCACATAGCACACAGCTGTGCTCGACTAGATGCACCCTACATAGATATATTTACACAAAGGCAATACCAATGTAAATTCAAAGGAAAGTTGAAAGATAGATCAAGAACTTAAATGGCAAAACATTCTGAAAGCATTTTCTTTGTATTGTACTAAGTATTGGCTGTTCAGTTATTTTGCCCATGTCTCTCTCTTTAATACAGCAAAGTCATGTTAATACATGCTGAAATGACTTAAATGCAACATCTTCTACTGGCAAGTCAGAGCTGATCCACTGCAGGCTTCCCTTCTTCTGAAAACAACTAATCAACTCTTCACCAATCTTGCTGACACTGCTGTTTTATCTTAGAAGGAAGTCTGCAGTCATATTTATAATTTTCTCCCATTTCCCTGCAAGAGACTATGCTGAGTGCCTCCCATGGGGCAGATCAGGCCAAAAAAGCACAGAATAATCTACTACAGTGCCAACAGAATGAACACTATGGTACCAGGCCCTCCAGAATTCAGGTGCAAATCTATCCTCAATCTCATCAATGTTATCTGAATTTAAACTATTGAAACTGTGTTTCCTGAGTTCCTACTATGTTTATAAACCTATCCACTGAACCCTGGAAAATACTGTATTACAGTTTAGCTTGATTCAAAACATAGTTATAACTTCATCCCTCCACTGTGCCCCTACCTCTCCTTTGAAAAGAACTGAAGCTTCTTTTCAGTCTTCTGTTCTATCATGGAAATGTATGTATTTAACTGGTTTAATAGCAAATCTATTTGAACAAATGACTTATATGCAACATTACCATAAATTGATTTAAATAATGTTTTGATGCAAGTTTGTATGTATATTTATATTATGTTCTTTAATCATTTTCATGTCATTTGTTTCTTAAATCCCTTTTAATTGCCTCTGAACAAAGGCTGATTGCAACTATTGCCTGAAAAAGGGCCAAATTCTTTCAGGATTTACTATTAGTTTAAAAACTAATTATAAGTATTAAAATACACAGTTATTTTCTGGAAGTTACATTTCATTTTGCACTGTGAAATTCTAAAATATTATCATTTGTTTTTTGTATAGATTTCAGGGCCTAAACCTAAGTATGTTGGGCTCTCAGATATCATTTTATACAAGCCATAAATTAGCTAGATATAGTTCTACCTTCCCACAGGGAAAGCACTTTCATGGAAGGAATCTAATATATCAGTGAAAAAAATCTATATTTAGTGTCACATCAAGGTCTTTACTATGACATTCAGAGAAAAGAGTCTGCAAGGCTCAATTTTTCAAACAAAAGAATTTTTCAACAAGAAATGAAATTAAAATGGGGTTCAGAAATCTGGCTTTCCAGGCATTTGAAATAAAAACATTATGAAAGCAAAGTATGGTTGAATGTAACATATAGAAACTTTACTAATATTAAGCTTCTCATAAATGAAAGAGCTCAACCGTGCCTCTGTAAAAGAGAAACCATGTTTTTTTGTTCATAAGAAGCAATTTTTACAATGCTTCTGGAGCTCAAAGTGCAAAATGAAACCTTCACCCGTCCTCCAGGTAAACTCTCCTATTAACCTCATTACTGAAAAGGAACCCACAAGCAACACCATCTTTAATTATTCAGACAACTCTCTAGTTCTAATGACTAATGGGTTTTCAATGTGCTTTGGCAAAGAATTTGACTTGCCAGTAGCCACAAGTGGCTAACTGTTCTTTGCTCTATTCTTCACATATTTCCCTCCCCCCCAGCTTGGGCACAATTGTACATAAACAGCTATGACATTGTGACTGCCCAACTAACCCTATTAATGCCCAGTAGCTATGTCACAGGGCAACAGTCCAACCAATTAGTGAGCAGATATTATTTCAACAAATGAGTACAATTGTAAAACTGAATTTTTGATAATTAAAAAGCAAGATGGATGCCTTTTAATTATTAATTAACTGCTTCCATTCTATTGAACAGGGCGATATACCTCTGCTATAAAATCTGATACCAATACATACATTCTGAAAAGCAAAGGAAATCTCAGGGCAGTCATCTTCATAAAAGTCTTTACAATTACAGCTCATTCTCCCTAAGCATCTTAAAGTGCTTTGCAAAGCTGAGAAAGTATCACTACATGTGGCTCACACATAGAGAAACTTAGGCACAGGGAGAAATATTTACACAAGGACAGACACAGAATAACTGGTAGTTGGAAACAGAGCACACATATACTCTCTCTCCTAGTCCTTTACACAACTCCAGAAGTAGATCCAGGATTTCATAAAGGGGGAGGCAGGAGCAGCAACTGATGCTGTAGGGTTGGCTGCATCCCCCACTCCCAGCCTTCTCCCTTCCCTCCTCCCTAATAGGGTGAATAGCCTGCAACCTGGGAGCAGCAGCTGGGGACTTTAAATCCCAAAGAAGGTAAGCATTCATCCTTTCTTCCCCTCCCATTCCCTTCTCCCTTGGCCTGCCACTGCCAGTATCCCTACTGTCCATGCTGTACCAGGGGCAAGGGGAGCTCCTGTCCTCTGAACACAGAGGAAGGGAGGAAGGGGAAGATGCTTATTTTCTTTGGGACTTAAAGTCCCAGCCTGCTGTTCCTGCCCTGTGTTGAGAAAGGTGAGTATTGTCATTCCACTGCACCCCCTCTGGATCCAGCCCTCCTCAACTCTAAACCACTTTGCTTTTTTCACTCTACAATGAAAATAACTAAGTTTATTAATGTAATGCATGAATGATTTTGCAGTATGTGCACAATTTTGTTTGATTTTTCTATAATAATCATAACAGTGAACCATTATAAGGTATTCCATTATTTCTATGGAACCTGAAAACTGCAGGTGAAGTGAGCAAGTCTGCTCTTAACCATACTAATACAGTAGATTACACTTAATGCAGTAACATTACCTTTACTGGAGTGTTGTGAGTCACTGAAGGTTGACTGTAGATTCTGAACCCAGCCCATATAGGAAGACAAATATATGGTATGTTTAAGAAAAAAACAGGACACACCCTTGTTCCATATTTCCCTATTAAAAGAAATAATCATAAGATGCGTGAAGAACGTTTAGCTTATAGACCCTCCAGGAAAATTTTTTAAAAGATCCAGGAGAACATCCTACCACGAAGTTAGGATAATGTTGATTAACAAGCATTTTAAAATGCTTGTTGCTCAGCATGCAAGTCATGTGGAACAGTCATACAGAAAGGCAGTCAGGAGCTCCCACATAAAGTGTTGTTTCAATATTGAGACTTTGTGCTTGTAATAAAGAGGTCAACAGCTGAGGCCATTTTCTATAACCCACAGGAATGGGTGAGCTCAAAGACGAATGACTGCTAAATGCTGGTTATTAGTGCAGGGCAATGACAGTGCTTGAAAGAGGGACAAAAATCACAGACTAGATCCTGACCTCCGCTGAGGTAAAGCAGCAAAGCCTGTGCCTTTTAAATCAGCTGACAATAGCATGTTGTATGAAGATTGGGTTATCTCGAGGTTTACAGTGGAGAACTCTATGTGCATGTGTGTAAGCAGCAGTGTCGGGCATACAGCCATAGGCAGAATCCAGCCTCCAGACTTTGCCTTGCCCCTGGCTGGGATGCAGGATCTTCCTATACTGTCAGCCAAGCACCTGGGTGACAGCCACAATGCTGGAGTGCCAGCAGCACTTTAGGAATGAGCTTGGGGCCAAAACTAATTCCCATGGCAGTAGCCAAGCACCTGTGATACAAGCATCTTCCCGCTGAGGCCATCTGGCCCAGCTAGAATGGTCAACATGTGCACTGCATGCTAGTTTCACACTACTCATCCAGCCCATGGGACCAGATGAAGGTGACACCCCTGGTGTAAGGGAAGAGATGGGACTGATCACCAAATAATGTTCCACTCCACTTATTAATACTGTGCTAATATTTTCAAAGTTGCCTAAATAATCTAGACACATTAAAATTTAAGGGTGTTCTCCTAGATGGCTTTGAAAAATCTCTGCTTTAAAGCTTTTGCCAAGATGGAAATAATTTATTTTGGAAGAAAAAGCTTAAAGCACTTCATGTGAATAAATATATAACATGAATGTTTGAATTATAACTTCACAAGCCCCATCAGTTATGAATTCATTATATGAAATTCAAGCAATGCAAAGTTGGGTTTTTTTGTTTTGTTTTGGCTTTGTAAAGTGAGTGCATTCTAGGCTACATATATAAAAATGCCTGCGGATGCTCTTCACCTACTATTTTACTTTAAAGCAGCTAAACGAGTATTATGCAAATATGTGGACAAATTGTTTTAATAGCAATAAAGAGGGACAGTTGTTTGTTTCCAAAGCGTGTTGAAGTCAAAAGGAAATATTGATTTCAGTAAGTTGGCTCAGAAGCTTATTGCCTATTGCAATATATTAAACTATTTGGAGGCAGGAAATGGTAAATCCACATTTCTCAAAGTAAAAAAAATAAGTGTTTATCCATTCTATTTATAGTCCTGAAGGCCTTATCAAGTTTGTCAAGAAGCAATACACCAATATTCTTCTTGCAGCCAAGCTGGAGAGGGCACAACTTTTATTACACTTACTATAGGATGTTGAAAACAAAATTATTGTCTACATGCAAAAGAAAGTTATATGAATTGTCTCTCCTTACCCACAATATTTCCAGGCATAAAGACAATAATACTCATGACAATGGATCCCAACCAGTACAGGCCAATGGTTCTGTAACTCTCTCTGCAACAGAAAAAATAGTTTTAATTCACAATCCACACACACCACTATCAAAACCTGTCCTCAAAGAGTATATGATTATATGATTTGCAGTGGTTGCATCCTAAGACAAATGTTTAAAACTGCACTATAAGTGCATAGTAGAAGGTGATAGAATTGTGTATGCATGTGTGTTTAAAAAATAAGATACAAGAGTAATATTGGATTGCATGAGGTTTTACTAGCACAATAGCTGAATGAGCAGTTTTTATACAAGTCACCTATTGTGCAAGTCTGAAAAAATTGCTTTTTGTACTTCAGCTATCAGAAGGCTGTTTCAAGCATAGTTTACATATTTCCCCCTAACATTCACATTTTTAAGTAACTATTATCCTTAAACTATTTCTACCATGGGCAGGATTGGAGGATTTTTCCTTCCCCATCCTCTCCTCTTTCATTAACTGTCTTCAGCACAGCTGGTGTGGTGGGCTTCCTATGTCACCTAGCATTAGCAAATGTAAAAGTCAAACTCTCTCAATGATTTGCACAACAGTAAGCAACGTAGAGTCTCAAGGAATTATCACTGCCTCTTTTAATTACACAGTGCTCTCCAGCACAGATGAAAGAAAGGTGACAGTTTAATCTTGACTAAGATATTATTCTACTCCTAAAGTCATTTGAAATGATAATGTTGTGAAATTTGACTACACTTTTTGTGTTACGATTCCTGTTTTCAATCCAACCACTATAGATTGTACAAATGCTCTGCACAGTGAAATTTCTAGGTAAAAGATATGGTGGATTTATTTCTTCTCCCCACATCAGGGACAATGCAACACCAAAACACTCCTGTTTACCAAACTGAAAAATGTGTCCACTCTGAATGACAGTGCAAAGCAGAGAGAACGCAACTTGATGCATTGTCTGCCTTTTGTGCAACTGAGAAAAGGAATAAATCTAGTCGTGGTCTAAGTCTACTGAAAGTAATGGAATTTTCATAGAGAATTTAACCAACTAAACAGCTAAACAACTACCAGTAGTACACAAATATCAAAGTGACTTACTCCCATGCAATAGCTGCCACCATTAAGAGATACATCAGGTAATGAGCAGAGCCATCCCAATAGCAGATCACATGGCCATAGGCTGTGTTCAGATATGGCTCACCCTAAATCAAATAAGTTGTAAAAACAATGATGAATGGAAGAAGTAACTCATAAAAAACATCCTTTTAAACACAGTATGGCAGACTTTGAGTGCTTTTTGGTGGGAACTGGTTATGCTTTGTTCCTCCAGGATCTAGCATCTCTGGCCATCTCTGGTGTGAGAATGCTGGAACAGCAGTCTGTGGTCATGAATGATTCAAGAAAGTACAAAAATGTATTGAGCATTACAGAAGTCTGTGGTCAGCTACATTATGGAAAAAAATTATTTTTAGAAAACTAACATTAAAAAACAGTGATATTATTTGTTATATATAAGCAATGAAATAGAAAAGTGTGATTCAATAAAGCAAAGATGCCTTCACTGTGCGCATCTACATGAGATGTTTACCATTCAGTAGACTAATTTAGCTGTGCAGTAAAAAGTAAATTACTGCACTTGCAGACATTGCCTGCTGGCTAGCCCCACACTGAAGCACCACCGTGCCCCAGCCAGCCCCTCCGCAGCACGTTGAACTGAAAGGAGAAGCCCTGGGCTGGCAAGCTGAGCCCTGGGACTCCCTGCCAGCCAGAGCTACTCCAACTCAGTGCAGTGTCCTGCAATCCCGAGCACACGTGCAAGCGGCAACATACTCTGGAGTTTATTGCTCCAGAGTTTTTCTCCCAAGCACACATTCAAACAATACACCTGGGAGCAATACACTCCAGAGTTTATTGCTTTGCATTAATTACACCTGAAGATGTGCCCACAGACTGGTCAAAACAAGCCACTGGCATGTAAAATACATTAAAATACTGTTCCAGATATCCTGTTAAGTGTTAAAACAGCTTTTTATTTTTTCATTAATTTTTTTATCAATATCCAGTTATCTATAATATATATTTTATTTATGTTCATAAGCAGAATGATGATTTACCTCTTTTAAGTAATAGGTCATGAATCCATCAATAATTCCATCCTGTTCAAGTCCTATTATAAGGTTCACTACACTGGTAAAGGAAAATACGGCATAAACTGCAGTAATAAAAAAGAAGAAATTTCTGTCTATTCACATTTTTACACATTGCAAGTTATAGTTTATATTCTTCACAGTTTATAGTCCAAAATGGTCAACTGCCATGAGATTAACATCTAGCAGATGTAGATAAAGATTTATCTAGTGTGAGGAAAATGTAAAGGAGAGATTTAATATACCATGTAACTTGTTACATTCAAATATCTTAATTAAGTAGGATGTTTTTTTAAATGCTGATGTTTTGGCATTCATAAACAGAGTATCATTTAAGGATATGTACAGCCACAGCTCCCATTGACTTCAGCAGAAGATCTACATCCACACAACAGGGACTGTGTAGGTCTTAAAAACTATCTTCGGCATATGATGTATTTACTTTTGATTGTAAACCTCTAGTGGATATTCCTCAGAAAAAAGGAGAGGAGGAATTGCACAAAAGAAAAAGTAAATGTGACCTGCCCTATTGGTCACTGCAAACCATCACAGAGCACATCTACACATTGCCCTACAGTGACATTGTTAGTGTGCTGTGCTTTAGTACTTCCTTTTGAAAGTAACTGCCTATACTATGACCTATGCACGGTGCACCATTATTTTTAGCAGCTACTTCACCGTAGCAGAGCACTATAATGGAGGAGCGTACTGCTGTGGCTAAGTAGCTGCTGGTCACTTTTAGACAGGTCATTATGGCAACATAGCATCACATGTAGATGTGCCCACTTATGCTACAGGCAGCTGAGTGACTCCCCTGAAGTGTGATGTGCCCTTTCGCCTCATCTACAGTATAAACTGATGGTTCCCAGCACTTTGCAGGGTCACCTCCTACCTTTGGTGCTGAGAAGGAGATGCAGAGGAGGTTACTGTACATACGGTATGGATTCTGTCTGGCAAGGGCCTGAACTTGAGGGACTAAACTAGGGCATCTCGCAGCCACTCAAGGAGCCAGTAATTTTTTCTTTGGATTGCTGTGCGTGTTCCAGAATCTATGCTTTCCTGGAAAAAATAATTATGTTTTCATGCTTTATGGTTTTAACCAAAAGGAAAATGAAGTTACTGATGCAGAGGTGCTTGCCTGAGTCTGCAAACAGCCTGAAGCAGCAGCTGAGAGGTGTGAACTTCTTTGTTCATCACAATGGGATATTGAAGACTAAGGTGTCTGTTGCTATAATGAATGTTGTTTATGTAAGAATGAAGATTAATGATAGTAGAGATCTTCTTAATATGAACGGTGTGTGTGGAGGGGGGTGGGGGCAAGCCCCTGGAACCCAGTATAGATCAAAACTAACAAAAGCCCAAATCATTCTTGCTCAGTACAAGCTGAGTTTCGTATATTCAGATCTTAAGCATTTCCACAGGCCACTGTACATGCTGTCTTGTTTTGGTCTCTCAAACAGTGGAGTTGATTTGTGGGCAGAGCCTGAAAATTAGGACTACTTTTCCAGCCCTCATCCCATGCCCCCCAATTCTTTACCTCTGCTTTTTTACCTTCTTCAGTTTCCATTGGAAGACAAGGCCATGTCTCAGGTTTGGGCCCAAAGTTATTGCAATGTTTCTTTTTAACTATCATTAGACACAAATTGTAAGAGCTATCACATATGTTTGCATGTGACATAACTTTTAAACAATGAACTCACTCTAAATTAACTTCCATATTGCCAATACATACCATAAAACAGTGGGTCTTTGGGTGGTTTTCTTTTGACCAGAATACGAGCCACTACAGCTACAAAGATCAGAACCAGTGATCCAACTGCCACAATCACCCAGGAACTGTAATCATTTTTTAAAATAGTGAATTAAAAGAAAAAACCGAGAGAGATCCCAAAACCCACCTCTGCAGTTTCTCTGAGCAATTACACTCTAAACAAAATCACTTTTCAAAATAAAAACTGCATGCTCTTCAATTAAATGTTTTCAGTAAGGATCTGAAGACCTTGCAGAATCTACCGTATTCTTATTCATTTTACTGTTTCACAGCATTGTGTGCTTGCTTGTTCCATGTGATTGTCTAAAAAAAGAATATACTAAAATAGCCTGATAAACAACTGGTCCAGAAAGCTAGATTGTCAGACTAAGTTCTGAGTTCTGAATGCGATCTCTAGCAAAAATGTACCGGAAAACGTAAGGGCAAATACAAGAGGTGAAAGTCACAGATGAATAGACCTTAAAGCCAGAAGGGACTATTATGAATAACTAGTCTAACCTCCAAAGAATAGTGTCTATCTGTGAAAGTGTATGTTTGCAAATCAAAATTGAAACAATTAGTCAGCCTGGATTAGGAGCAGCATTATTGTGCCTGGTATTATGGAGTTTCTGGTGTCAGACTGCGGGGGCTTGAAATGTTATGGAGATCCTTTCAGGCCTTGGAGGGACAGATTGCTTTGTGTGACTCAGTTGTAAACTCTTTGGAAACAACGCTGACAGGTTCTGCAGGGAAGAGCATCTAGATCGGTGGCTCTCAGTCTTGTTAGACTCAAGGTACCCCTCAGAAAATGCCAGCTTGTAGTTTTCACTCATGTTTTGGCTACAGAAAAACAGTAGGGTAATTCTTCTTTTAGAAGGAACCCAGAAGGACCACAACAAGTCAGAATATTTTGATGCTATGAATTCCTACTGGAAACATGTGCTTTTATCTTGTAAATCATATGTTACGTGTTAATACTGTGCACTACCCTGTGGCGCCCTTACAAGGATCTCAGGACACCCAAAGGTCCTGCAACTCCCAGGCTGAGAATTGCTGATCCAGGTACTTACACCTCAGCAAGGCATGGTGGCTGAGCAGCTCAGGGGTCTTGCTCTGCCTCTTAAGGCAAATTGCAACCCCTGTTTTGGGCTCATGCCAGCCTGCTGACTTGCCTGGAAGTGGGTACCTGTCATTCAGGCTGGGAGCTGCTAGCAACATCACTCCCTTGTATGCCTTAACCAAGCAAGCCCAGTGGACCATTAGGCTCGGGTAGACATGTAACTGTGATATCCACAGCCTCAGCAGGGCAGATTATACCAAATGCATTTTAGGCGAGATTCACCAACCCAATCTTTTTGTGCTGATATACAAAAATGGGGAGAATTAGGTCAAACAAGGAGGGTTTGTTTAATCACATGATAAGTGTTTGAGACATCAGAATATGGTTTCAAAAGCTGCACTGGTTAGATTTGTCTGAATCCCCCCCTCAGGAAAGCGAGTAAGACAGTTAACTCCTCTGAGGAGGATGACAAGAAATTAAACAGCAGGATTTACACCTTGGACATAAACCTGCAACTTGAATCTCACTATTCAGACTTAGGGAATCTTAAAGAGTTAAAGTCAGTTGGTGTTAAGTAAAGGCTCCGCGGTTTTCAGCTGTTTGAAAAACAGACGTGCAGCTCCAGGCCTAGACCCCGGCGGGGTGCTCTGCCCAGGGGACATCTCCACAACACCGAGGTAGTTTGAAAGGCAGCCGAAAGCTGTCGCTTGGAAATAAACATTGGCGCTGAATCGAGTCCGTTGCTGAGCGTTAGGGCAGGGAGCAAAGCCTTGGAAAAGGAAGGCGAGGAAGGAGGCACTTGTGCCTCAGCACGGGCTGAGCTCCTGGGGAGGGCTGCCCAACCCTCGCCAGTGGCCGGCCCGGCCCGTCGGAGCCAGCCGCCGGCTCCCGCACGGGTCCCGCGCCCCGGGGACTTGCTCGAGGTGCAGCCGCCGCGGGCAGGGAGAGGGGAGCCCCTCGCAGCCTCCTCCCAGCCCCGGCTCCCACCGTCGTCCTCACCTGCTGGTGGCGGCCAGGCAGTTGAAGAGGTAGGTGACAGGGACGGCGGTGAGGGACAGGACGAAGACGCTGGTGGCCGCCGCGGCGCTCATCCCCGCAGCTCCGCTCCCCTCAGCTCTGCGCGCCGCGCCCGGGCATGGTCCGCGCCCGGCCCCGGCCCCGGCCCCGGCCCCGGCT